CTCTCTCTCTCTCTCTCTCTCTCTCTCTCTCTCTCTCTCTCTCTCTCTCTCTCTCTCTCTCACACATCTCTCTCTCTCTCTCCCTCTCTCTCTCTCTCTCTCTCTCACACACACACACACACACACACAATCTTCCTCCTCCCTTGCAGAAAATGCGGACACACACTTCAAGCAGACTGATTGGTGACTCAGAAAAACAACAAGATTGAATGATTCTGCTGCTCACCATGTAGAATCAAACCATGCAATAAGTCTTGTCACATACTGACCTCAGGGTTGCGCCCTGTTGCATACATGTCGCAGTTGGGCCCTCTGACAAACATGTTACAGTGGGGACGTGCAGCACACATAAGTCACACTACCCTTGACATCTTTTTTCCTTGAGGTAAGCACGTTCATGTCACCTTTGAGTATCGAATGAGCAAAAAAAACAGGCATCGACGACAAACACAGAAGCCACATCAAGGCTAATAGATCGCCAAGCATCCCTCTTAAAGCAATGATCAGGAATTGCATTACGTACGTCTGCCAAAAGAGGTTGAGCACCTTGCCAAGAGCATCTTGCGCCAGTGGCTCTGCCTGTGTATCAGCTGAACGTGGAGCCCCTCTCCCCCCAAACCAACCACAAGCCCCCAGACCCACCCGGAAGGTTGACTACCCTCCCACAGCAGCTGGATGGCGGGTACAGGGCTGGAGGACAGATATGAGGGGGGGAAAAAAAGAACCCGGATTTGTAGAGGTGCATGTGGGCGCAGAAAGGGATCACCGACCAAAAAAAAAAAAAAGAAAACCGCGAGGCCAAACACAGAAGCCACATCAAGGCTGATAGATCGCCAAGCATCCCTCTTAAAGCATCCGCGAGGCGAAACACAGAAGCCACATCAAGGCTAATAGATCGCCAAGCATCCCTCTGCGGCGGCAACAACCGCGAGGCCAAACACAGAAGCCACATCAAGGCTAATAGATCGCCAAGCATCCCTCTTAAAGCAATGATCAGGAATTGCATTACGTATGTCTGCCAAAGGAGGTGGAGCACCTTGCCAAGAGCATCTTGCGCCAGTGGCTCTGCCTGTGTATCAGCTGAATGTGGAGCCCCCCTCCCCCCAAACCAACCACAAGCCCCCAGACCCACCCGGAAGGTTGACACCCCTCCCACAGCAGCTGGATGGCGGGTACAGGGCTGGACGACAGATATGAGGAAAAAAAAAAAAGAACCCGGATTTGCAGAGGTGCAGGTGGGCGCAAAAAGGGACCACCGTCCAAAAAAAAAAAAAAAAAAAAAAAGCCCGGATTCTGAGTCGCCCGGGTACCCGGGCGGGTTCCCCCCCGGGCAGTGCCGCCCCGGGTCGCCGGGCGGACCGGGCCGGGCGACTCCGGTAGACTAGGCAATGGTTCAATACAACAGAAAAAAAAAAAGTAAAAAAAAAACAATGAAAGGGGGTCCATTATTTTTCTTCCCCCCCCCTAAAATGGACTCCCCCATTTTTAAGTCTTTTTATTTTTTTTCAATGTAGGGGGGTGGGGCCTGGGGTGCGCCCCCGGAATCCCGACCCCGACCTCGGGTAGCCCCCCTCCCCTGCCCACGGCGCGCGTTTTTCGACTGCGGCCGCCGTGGTCATGACCGCGGGCCCGCGGTCGACCGCATGGGCCGCGGTCATGCCCGCGGTGACCGCGGCCACCAGCGATACAGAGGTACCAGGTCTTCTGCAAAATGTGGCGAGATTTTTTCTGGCAGGTTCGTCTGGCTCGAGCTACCGATCACGCTAGGTGCAACGAATGTATTAGTTAGGCCATTTGCATCGAGGGGCCCCTCCCCGGGCCAAGGCGCCAACTTGCTGCGCAGCATAAATACCATTTGGTCAAATGGCCCATCGCAAACTCTACAGCGTTTGGTCGGCGGAGTCGCAGTTCAAGCAGAGAGAGAGCTTGTGCGTCATAATAGACAGGATGGATTAGGCAAAAACAACGATTCCCCATGCCGCGCGCAGAAGGTTGTCGAAAAAGATGGCGAACAACACTATGATGAAAACAAACCTCACCGGTCTGATTGCACATGGAAGGAATCCCTCGCTCTTCGTTCACACTTGGTTCCCGTATTTGTCACACGGTTCGAATTCCGTTGTCACATCCATTGCAAGAGTGCTCAGAGAGGTGCAGGCGCGCGATGGGGAGCTCCCCCCCCTGTTGAGGGTGCAAGTGGATAACTGCGGAGGTCAGAACAAGAATAGATACGTGTTCGCTTTCCTTGCATTGTTAGTCAAGTTCCGAATCTTCGAGGGGGTCCAAATAGGATTCATGATTGTGGGCCACACCCACACGGACATAGACGCAAAATTTAGTTTGTTCGCCAGGAAACTCAGCGGCTGTGACGCTTACACCATGGATGAACTGTTCTCCGTGCTGCAACGTTCTTGTGAGGAGCCCGTAGATTGCACGCATGTTACGGAGATAGTAAACTGGAAAGCTGCTGTGTCCCCTTACCTTGATCCAAGGATATCCGGTCACTCTACTCCATACCTTTTCCGTTTTTACATGGACGGGGAAAACCCTCTGATGGTGTACAAAGAGTACTGCAACAAAAAAAGGTGGGAGCCTATGACAGGGTCTGTGTACTGGTTCAAGAGGAACAAGGATAACAGTTGGGCAGGGCCGGAATGGGGGTTCCATCCTTGCCGTGAGTCACCCAATTCAAACTGTGGCGATTTCGTCAGTGGCAAGGCGGGTTTGAGAGTGTTGAAGAATTCTTGGGAAGATAAGATTCATGAATGGGAAACCCAATCCGTAGAGGATAGAGAACTGAAAACGACCAGATTGCAATACAGGACAGATCGCCTGCGCGAGTTTGATTGCATTGAAGTCGAAGAGACGGGGACAGTTCCTCTTTCGACGGCATTCTGGCCGACCCCGAGGGCAGACAAACCTGGCTCCGAGCCCGTGGCTGCTCACAAGCTTGCATTGCCCGTAAGAAAACCATGCTTCGTGGGTCACAAGAAAGATGCTCCTAAACCTGAATTCGACCCTTGCGTCGCGGTCGATGTCGACTGTTTCGTCGTGCTGAGGCCTCCGGACGACCACGTCGCACAGGGCTGCACGTTCTGGGTGGGGCGTGTCCAGAAGAAGGACGAAGGCCGCGTCCTTGTTCAGTATTGGAGGCCTTGTGGCCGCGAGTGTAGTGTGCGCGAGCTGTATGCAGACGCATGGAACAAGAATTGGAGGGTGGAGACAGAGTCTGAGCCTGGATGGCAAGACCTAAAAAGCGTTGCTTGGGCATGGGCAAGCAACAAATGCTCGACGGCCGGGATGAGAATCAGAAAGAACGATGCCATCAAGGCACAACAATCCCTCGCCGCTGCCGACACTGT